GTTCTGTGACAATTTTACACAACTTAACATAGCCAGCAGCATTCAAAACAAAACAGAAACAAATAAGCAAAACAAACAAAAACATTCAGCAGGACAAATTTAACTAAACATCATCCAGCTTGGTAAATAGGCTACAGAATTGCTCCTGTTCACCTCAGCTCTGGGAACAACCGTTCAGCCACTGCACAAATGCTGACAATTGCAAATGCAAGAGAATTAAATGAAATGGCTCCGTGTTACCAGGCTGTTTGTGTAAGCATGTTGAAGACGCAGAGGTGAAGTCTTAATGCGAGGGGCTTTTATTTATTTCTTTCTTTGTTTTACTTGAATTGAATTTTGTGTTGGATGGCTGGTGTGAATCACTGTGCCTGCTTTGTTTCTCAGTAGCAGTGATCATCTGTGGAAAGAAGTGTTACTTCTGGGTCTCTTATGAGCATGAATGATGGCCTCAGTGTTCACTTCCCTGACTTCTGAGCTCAGCCTCCTATTGCTGTGTGATGTACATGGATGGCACATGGTGAATTTGAGACTGTCAGCCCCATAGGTGGCCACGCCATCTGCAGACTTTTATCAATGATATATGTGTAAGCTGTTCAGGATACCTATGTTGGTTAATGATGAGGAACCTTCTGAAGTTTGTTTTCTCTCTAAGGATGTGTCTGGCTTTGAATGTTTGATCCCGTTGATGAATTGCTAGGTGAAAGTGTTTGTGCCAAGCTTTTTGGGGATTGCTGTTTAGGAATAAATCACATCGTGAGCCTGTGAAGAAAACTAGCAGTTGTTCATAATTTTCAAAACAGAAGCTTCTTCAGACAAAGAGTATTTTCCATAAAACTTACACAACTATTTTTTGGAACTTGAGGTAGACTTTTGGCTATTAGTTATCTCATTTTGCACATACTGAGCTACGATCAACAGTGAGGAACATCTCAGCAGATAGTTTGGTCTTCACTAATGTTATGCATGTGATCTGCGAAGCAAGTTTTGTATCAGCTGCTTAATATGCTGTCTTAAAATTCTTTTGTAGGCTCCTCTTCTGTTTGCTGTAGTATTTAGGCTTTACTTGGCTGCTTCCTAATGCAGCCCAGCTCAATTACTGTTTCAGTTACAGATACAAGCAGGTTATTTTTTCAGCCATAGAAACAGTAGCGTAAGACAGCTTAAAAATTGTGACACATCGCTTTTGGATTAAACTGGTCTTGCTGCCAGCTGAACCACGATGTACTGTGTATGAAGTGGAAATAACCTTGGAGTTTAGATGCCACAGGTTAGCTGAAAGACTTCATTTTTTTTAAACAAGTTCTTCATGAAGGTAATTCTTTTTGAAACTTCTTGCATTACACAAAAGCAAGATGAGTTGGTATTCAGTGTTGTGCTTTTCTTAAAATGTGTGGCATTAGTAAAAAAAAAATTAAAAAAACCACTGATTCAAAAATGTGCTTTTTTTCTTAAAAACATGTGAATTCTTTTTTTTTCTGTGGGAGTTAAATTTTCCCCTTTTTTCCACTTCCCATTTTTCTTCTCCCCAGTCAAGCGTTAACTAGGAATTCAGGTTTAAAAAAAAAAAAAAAAAAGCAGTGAGGATAAACAGACCTCACAGAACTCCTCATTCAGCTCAGCAGGGCACCAGACCTCAGCTATTCTTCACTTCACAGTGAAGACGATCAGTTCTGGGTGACCACTTTCAAAAGGCATGGCGTTTTTGAAGGTGCTCAGCAGGATGATAAATGGCTGTGTCTGTCATCTCGCCTCTTGCGGAAATGCAGCAGGGGTCTGTGCTGCAGGAACTTGTAAAGAAAAAGGTACAGACTGTGTGACCCTGGGCTGGTTGGATGCCACCTGTCTGTATGGAATCTCAAGGATCTGCTAAACAGTACTTGAGCTGAAGTTTCTTCTGCGAACAGATGGGAAAGTAGATTATTGCATGGGTTGCTCCAAAAGTAATGCCTTCCATTTGTTTCCCTGGAAATTATAACAAACACAAGGAGCACAGTAACACTATTTGATAGAGAAAATTCTCAGCTACAAAATACTTTTGCAACGCAGTCAACCATTAGCTGTGCATTTTTGCCAGCGATGAACGAGAGCCTGCATGCTGCAATCATGCAAATATGCACCAGCGGAGGTGACCCACTGTTCCGCAGCTTTTATGATGGTGTTGATGCTAGGAAGTTGTTGTCCACACAGTCCACTTTTCATTGGCCTGAACAGATGGAAGTCAAAAGGTGCCAAACTTGGACTGTACAGTGGCTGTGGTAGGACAGCCCAGCCAAGATTGACAACATGCTTCACAGTCTTCAAACTGATATGGGGCCTGGTGTTACCATGTTGCAGGAGGAAAGTTATCCCTTTCTCTGGCCTGACTCTGTAAGTTTGAGCTTTCAGCTTAGTCATCATCCTGATGAAATGATAAGAGCTGATGTCTTGATCAGGTTCCAAGAAATCAAGAAGGATCACCCCTTTCCTTTCCCGAAAGACAGTGCACATCACTTTACTTCCTGAGGGCTGTGTCTTGAACTTTTCCTTCAATGGGCAGCTCACGTGTTGCCATCTCACAGACTGCTGTTTTGACTCCAGCTTGTAGTGGTGACACCCCATCTTGTCACCGGTAATGATACAATCCAGAAAACTGTCACCTTGAGCCTCGTGTTGGTCCTGACAAACTTGCATACTACAGTGTAGCATTTGTGGGACCCATTTGGCACAAACTTTGCAATGTTCCAACCTTGTCACCCTTGTTTCTAATGCATTAAATCTGACATTCAGCTCCACACACAGTTCCCTGGTCGTAATCCACTGATTTGTGCAGATGAGGTGATATGGACACTGTTCATTTCACGGTGTAACAATTGTGTGTAGCAATCCGAAACTTGGTTTGTCTTTCACATCACTGTCCCCACTGCTGAAACACAGCAGTGCCTCACTGTGCCTCATGTCTACTGCTTGGCCTCCATAAGTATTCAGCAGGTGTTGATAAATGCCAGTGGGTGCCATTTTTTCTACATGGAGAAATTCAATTCCACCCTCTGCTTCATCCACACTTCCATGCCAGATGCAATTTTGTCAGACTGCCCCTCTGCTGCCCTGTTATGTGGTAAATACATGCATTCCTAACATAGGTTAAGCAGGAAGCCTAAGGAGGTATATAATTCTGGTTTTCTTTTATATGATTGTGATGTTGTTGACTTGGTGTAACTGACTTCATCTACTGTTAGACTGACATTATAAACTGAAAAGAAACTTCAAAGCAAATGACAATTTTACTCTAGTTTCTTTCTTTCTTTCTTTCTTTTTTTTTTACAACATTTTTCTATTTATATTGCTTCCTTGTAACATGGGAGTCTATTCGAAAAATGGGACTAGGCTTTTCTTGCTTATTCTCCTGATAACATTAAAGACATCAAAGGAATAAATCCAATTTTCGGATCCCCTTTTTTATTACCACTTGTGCTTGGATTTCAGTAAAATAGGATTTTAAAATAAATCTAAATGTAAAATGTATCCAGTGATATTGCATTAAAACTGATGTTAGTATCTACATCACAAAAAGACTGCCTATTTCAAAATAAGCATGAAAACATTTTACAAAATGCATTACTCTGAAGTCACTATGCTGTTTGTATGGGATAGAATTGAGATTTGTTGATTGCAATGCTGATGCAGAGACTGCAGAGGGAGCTAATGGTCTGATGTCAGCAGAAGTCCTATGTGTGTGAAAAATGTCAGGGAACTGCATTCCTGTTTATTTCATGAGAGGCCATGTCAAATCTCAGGTGAAAAGAGAAATAGGAGAGTTTATTTTGAAAAGGGATAATTTTGTGGATACCAGGACAGTTATATAACATCTGTCCAGTCCTTCTTAGAATATTAATGGAAAGAAGTACTTTCAGTAGCCGTAACAAAGGAGGGGGAAAATTATATGTATATCTCTGCTGCTTTAAAGTTTAGCTGAACCTAGAAGAGCTCATTTGCACTACTGCTTTGGAAATCATCCCTTGTACAGGTGAGATTTGTTAACAAATGTCCGGGCTGCAGAGAAGCTGGTTCTGGCAGCACAGCTGTTCTGGAGGTTTGAACTTGTAGCTATGAAAAGCTGAAGATCCACTTCTTAACTCTGTAGTATTTTATTTGTTTTTACAATATTCTGTAGTATTTTATTTTTATTTGTAGTATTTTATTTGTAGCATTTATTTATTTGGATCCAGGCTAGTGCATCATTAACAAAACAGAGAAGAGCAGCAAACTGCAATGTGAGACCCCACAGACGTGGCCAGAGCAGCAGCAAATTGTAATATGAGGATCCAAGGACATGGCTAGAGAAAAGCAAGCAGGGAGACCATTCAAGCCAGGAACAGTGACCCTATGTGAATGACAGTTAGCTTTCAGGAAAACACGTGGAAGTAGTAGTTTTAAGTGAAAGGCATTATTAACAATGACTTGTTTCACAGTGGTATATATCCTCTAGGAGGCTTGAACCAAAACTTTTCCCATTTGGTTGCTGGAACCAGTCTTTCTGTGTTTGCCTTTCTTGCTCTGCTTCATTCCAGCCTGTTTATCCAGAAATAAATGTTGGTTGCTGTGGACCTCATGCTATTTGTTTCAACAGATCTCTGAAATTCACTGAAAACATTTTCAATATGCTAAATAATACTATTTTTAAAAAAATCTAGTTCTGTAGCTGTGAAGGTGTGGGTTTGTTTAAACTAGAAATGTGATATTTATCTTTCTCCTACTGATATCTATTAGAAAATTCTGTTTCAGGTTATTGGAAGCAAGACTGGTATCTGTGACTGATCCCAGTACAGTCTAGACAAAAGATTGGTGAAAATTCACAGGGCTGGGTGAGAAAAGGCATTCATCCACACATTCACCCTGTTTACCAGTCCATAGATTGTAGCAGTCAAATTTTGAAATGAATGTGCAGAACATTCAAGTTATCTCACTACCTGAAAATCCTTATTTTATAGTTAAATCTAATGATTCATTTTCTGTTTGTGCAGATCCTAGAAGAAAGTATCATGTAAGGCTGCTGGCATATAACAATATGGAAGAAGGTTATCAAGCAGACCAAACAGTCAGCACTCCAGGATGTGTCTGTAAGTGCTGTAGATGCATGAAGTACTCATTAAGATCTGAGCTGTTTCAGGATCCTAGCAGCTTTTGATTTTAACCTATAAGCAATCAATTCAGTGTAAAATACAGAGACAGAAAGATCCCGTTTATGATAAGTACTGTCCTAGTCAGAAACATTCTCCTGTTTCTACAAGCTTCAGCTGAGGAAACAAGATGAGCTACCAAATGCATTTTCCTTCCCTATTGCGTTGTCTGTGTCATCTAACCAGTGATACATCATGTATCTTATCAGTTCAGTACCTTGAACAGATTCCTGGGTCTGAATAACAGGTAAAATACTGAGTAGGAGCAGATTTGAATCTAAACCTGTGGGTTCAGACCTGTCTCTTAGCCTTACCAATATCTGTATATGGTTCATTAAATAATTTATGCTTCTTTTTCCTTTTAAAAAGCTGTCCGTGATCGCATGGTGCCACCACCGCCACCCCCTCACCATCTCTATGCTAAAGCTAACACTTCATCTTCTATCTACCTTCACTGGGGAAAGCCTGCCTTTACATCTGCACAGGTCATTAATTACACGATCCGCTGCAACCCAGTAGGACTGCAGAATGCATCTCTGGTTCTGTACCTTCAAACGTAAGTGCAGTGCTGTTGCATCTTGAGTTGTCATTTCTGGATCCAGTTTCCAGTCTTTTTGCCCTCTTTTAATTTCCTTTAAGGAGGATACAAATTGTTACAAAGGGCTGTGTGATTTTCCTAGGGGCGAGTTCTGTTTCTTTGGTTATATAAGATGTGACTGTAGAACACCTTAGTTTTCTGATGGATCTGTCATCCATCACTGGACAAGCTCTTGAATTTTTAAAGGCTTTATTTAGCTAAGTTGAATTTATTGTTAAGCTCTTTTTCAACCAAAGTGATTATTTATTTTACGGGTAGCATCTTTGTTCAAAAATGGGCCTGCGTGCATTGAAGACTGCATATTAAGACTGGAAACAAAAACTCTTGAGTTTTGATGGGCTGAGCATACCAACACTCCTAAATATGTGGCATCAGGAGAAAGCTGAGCGGGACTTACAGCTAACTCTTCAGAGAAGCAGTGTGTGTATCACAGAGCAGTAGGACACAGAAGAAATTCTGCCTGAGCTGAGTGTACAACTCTGTGCCCAGGTAGTATGGGAGTAGAAGACTTTGGTCCACTGTGGTTGCTTGCAGTGGTGGCCATGGTGCTGTTGAGGGAATATATGTGTAGCTTCCTCAATACTTCTGTTTGCTCAAGCCTTTTAAAGAAGGTAAATGTTGTGTTAAGAGATGGCTTCCGTTCTAACGTGGATGGTTTTCTCTTCAAAGAATACATTCTCTGCTGTTAACTCCTGAGTTAACAAGTGGATATGGTATATTCACCATGTAAAATTCTTGCTATATAATGTGGAGCATAGTAGCAATTACTGCTGTTGTGATAGAAGTACTTTCAGTATTGGTGACTGGCCTTGCGCCCCTGAAGATGAAAATACTAAATCAGATTTAATAAAGTGAGATCTATTTCATAATATCATCCTGAGATTGAATCTCAATGTAGGTATTACATGCTGAATTAACACTAGTATCCGTGAAACATTTGTATTTCCCAGAATCAAAATATAGCAGACTGTCTACAGTACGTTGTGATTAAATAGTAAGTTGCAGTATTATAATTAATGACATAAATATTAAAATCAATATGTTTGACTACAATATGAGTAGGGAAGATTCATATTCCATAGAGATCCCCTAAACATGGGGGTGATAGAGGCCACAAATGTAAAGGGGAATTGCACGCATTAGCCTATGGTTGTACTGTGATCTGAGACGTAGAACCAAGAACAGATAATAGAACCAGGAACACGTGTCTTTTCAACTGTGGCTGTAGTTTGTGTTACTCCAGTTTAAAGCAGTGTTGTATGAACAGATGTGGAAAGAGCTGGACTTAGGATACCTGCTGGTAAGTCTGGGCCATGATGTTCTTGGCCTGACTTGTGAATCAGTGAATCCAAACAACCTGTATAAAAACTTAAAACAATCAATGGCAAACATAATGTCTTCTAGAGAGCTCCAGGGTTGGTTCAGTTATCTTTCAGCTAGGCAGTGCGGATGGACCACATGTCTGAACTTAACTGGTTTGTCCTGTATGGAGCTGACAGTGGGAATCTACTCAAAGTGGCTAAGAGATATCATTTGAGATCTGGATCTTCAAGTCATTTCATGCTGTTGTATTTCTTTTATTTTATCTGTACAGGTCAGAGACTCACATGTTAGTTCAAGGTCTTGAACCAAAAACCATGTATGAATTTGCAGTTCGGTTGCATGTGGACCAGCTCTCTAGTCCCTGGAGTCCAGTAGTCTATCATACTACCCTTCCAGAAGGTAAGGGCACTAAGAGAGGACCACAGGGTTCTGGAAAGTTCTGTACACCAAATGACCTAAAAAACTGCTCATTAATTTGAAGTTATATGCGGGAGAGAGAAAGACTTGATTCTAATATACAGATAATGCTGCTCTCAGTGGAAGATAAAAAAATGTTTTCAGGAAAGTCAGTTTTTTCAAACTAGGAAATTCTTTTTCAAAATCTGCCTTAAATGAGCAACCAGTTTTAAATAAAATATGTGTACACAATTAGCAACCACTGGGATAACTTCAATAAAAAATTTAAAATATGTATTGAAGAGCTGTGGTTCATTTACAGGTATTGTGAAAGCATATTTTAAAATCCATCAGTTTTAGGAGCTGTAAGACTATTACATGTACACCATTGTTTCTAGTGCTCTGGCTGTTAGTTTTGCTTACCTGCCAATTTGATGAGTGAAAATTGAAAACTTCAGGTGCACATTTTCAATATAACTGAGTTGCACATTCTCAGCGTGTTTGTAATATACCTGTTTGCAGGGGATTTTTTGCATTGTCAGTTACTGTTTTATTTTGGAGTAAAGCAAAAAAATGTGGAACTTGTTTAGAAAAATCTAAGCCATTGGCCAGGTCAGAGTTAACAGGAGAGTTTCTGTTGAGGAGCAGTAAATATGTGTTTGTTTCTATGTTATCTGGGATACAGCAATAGCCATTGGGTCTGCACAGCAGTTTAACTGCATGTAAATTAAGTTAGCCTAATAGTACTGTGTTACTGTTCTCACAGCACCATCTGGCCCTCCAGTAGGAGTGAAGGTGACTTTGATAGAAGATGATACAGCTTTGGTTTCCTGGAAGCCACCTGATGGTCCTGAAACAGTTGTCACACGATACACTATTCTGTATGCATCCAGGAAGTCTTGGATTGCTGGGGAATGGCAAGTGTTGCACAGAGAAGGTAAATGAAAATCCTAAGTGTATGACCTGGACTGACAGTGATGCTTCTTAACTTTCAAACCCCGTGGACTACAGTTAGAATATAAATGTTCAGATAAAAGTTATAATTAGTTTAGAATTATTCCAAGAGTTGTGATGAAAACATGCTAAGAACCAGTTAATACCTCAGAAGGTGAGGGGACTGGGGTTGTCTGTGTTGCTTTGGAGCTTAGTGTGTGCACGTCTCATAAATCATCACAGTTCTGTGATAAATGATCATGATGGTTCTCCTTTTTGAAAGTACTTTTTCAAATCTGAAGCCTCTAAGATGCCTTGCCTTTCAGAAGTACATTTTTAAATATGGCTGTGTGGATTTATATGTTTCTTCTGATCACTGCCAATCCAGTAAACTGAGTTTGCGTAATGAACTTTATTCTACTCCTAGTAAATAGCTGTGCAAATTGAATTTAACTCTCTGGCTCTCTTGAAATGCTGAAATCCAGCTAGCTGATTTATCAGTATTTCAGGTATGGTGATAGTAATATGAACTGTAGTCATAGTTTGTGATCACATACAGATTTAGGTTTTATAGGTACTTTCCAGAGTAATACTTCGATTTGAAGCGCTCCATCAAGAACAGGTTTCTATTGTAGCCAGGAAAAAAGGCATTTGCTCTTAGATTGGTATTCAGAATTGGCAGAAGCAGTTAAGAATAGATAATGTTTGCATAATATATTAAACCAAGGAAGGGAGCTCTGTGTTATGGAGTAAAGTCATGTGTTGAGTAGCGTAGGAAAGAGGGTTGCCTAGGAATAGCTATATTTTGTTCTGTTGTTTCATGGCTGAAAGCTTACTTGTCACCAGAGAGTGATGCTTTAAATTTTCTGTATAAGAGAATATACAAAACTTAATGACTTTTGAAATGGAATCGTGAAGGACAGTTATTTTTTCCATCATTGAGACTGAACTGTTTTAATTGAAAACTGATGGTTGTCCCACGTGCCACTTCTGAAAAGAGGATGGAAAACCAACAGCCATTTTGAAAAGCTGCAGTCCCACTTTGTCTTTGCTGGAGCAGAATAGTGCTTTTCAGGTTGACCTACAATAGAAATTGTGTGAAATTGTTGTGAAAAGCAGCAGTAAAATGACTGTTAACCCTGAGCAAAAATTATGAGATAGTTTTTGAAATATTCACAAATTGTAACTGTAAGACTGAACATGTCGGTTTTATGTTACTAAAAGTTACAAAGAAAGTTGTTATATTTTACCATAGATACTTGAAATGAGGGGGATATCAGTAACAATCAACATTGTATGTGTTCCTGTACTGAACATGCTGGAGGGAATGAACAAATGGAGAGCTACAGATCTCAGTGCATTACTGTGTTCATCAGTGTTCATCGCTGATTTTGTAGTTGGATAGATGCATTTGGATTTGAGGCATGGCATGGAATTCAGGCATCTTGATGTGTTAGGACAGTCTGTAGTATTCTTAGTTCAAGTACAGATGAGAGCTGTGAAAGATGATGACGCAAAGGGGAAACTGGGCGAATACTCCTTTGACAGTCCTGTCATGGGTAATTTCAGTTAGAATCTTTTAGATGCACTTGTTTTGTCAAGATCAGCTAATCCTGTACAATAAACAGCATTGTTTTGTCTCGACACTAAACTTCTGGAGAAAATTTGTGATATGTGAACCCCGTTCATTTCCCATACCTTAAAAGATACCCAAAACAAAGTAACCAGTGAAACCAGAGCAAAAAGAAAAAGAAACCCACAAACCAATGCTATCACCTGCAAAAGTCCTAGCATAGGCTTCAGTTTATGCCTGAAAAATTCCACCAATCCACCAGCTAAACAAAACAAAACAAAACAAAACCATCACCAGCAAAAACCCTCCAGTTTGATCAAGCTTGTATTAGACATGGCAGAATTAAGATACAGCTGCAGTTTGTTGCTGATCTGTGATGTGAGTTATCTTCCAGCCACTTCCCCCTCTCTTGCTTAGTTCTTTTCAAGTGGATCAGAAGTTACAGCCTTTACACACTTGCTGTGCAGTAAATCAGTACAAAGTGCTTACTTGCTTTAGCAATGCAGCAGATTTGAAAGGAGATGGTGGGAAAGAGCCTCTAATATTGAAACATGACCTTTCACCCTTGCTGGTGCTAGATATTACAGCTCCTTTGGTTACAGATACCTCACGTTTTACTTCAAATGCTTTCAGCTGGTGGGTGTTTCTTTTATGAAGTAGCTTTTGAAGTAGATTCTCCTTTGCCAGATGTACAGTTTTTTCTGTCAACAAAACAGCCTTATATTTCATATGCTCCTGTGATACTATACATTCTGACTTCTGAAGCTGATTTGAAAGGTTGAAATTTAGATTTAAGTCCAAGAAAGTGAATGTATGAAAGAGAACAGGGGATAGATTTGGTCTTGTAACTGCCACTGTTTAGGGAAGGAAAAACAATATACTTCCATAGTAGGAAGGAACATAGGCATTTTAGAAAGCAATTCTAATTTTAAGCAGCAGTCTGCAGTCCCTGGACAGCCAAAACTGTCACTGACTTTGATAGGAGTTTTGTGTGTCTTATGACAGTGCAAATGAATCCTGTTTACGTTCTTAATCTATTTCTTCTGCCTGTAGTGATTTTAGAAAATGAATCCTCAGCAAGTGAGAAGGACATTTTCTGTAATATTTTAGTAGCACAACTTAGATGTATAGTAATCAAGGAAGCCTACACGTGTTTAAATAGGGTTTAATTTCATTTTAAAAGCATGGTGTAATGTACTTTTCCAAGTCTGTCCTGTTCATTTTACAAATAGACCTGAAATTTGTTAAACTGAACATGAATTATGTTGATATAATGACTTTTACTGATATTCACAGTACAGTGCCATTCCACCTAGGAGATCTAGGAGGCATATAAATTAGTAGATGAGGGATATCTACTCTTCTGCTTTCTGTGGCTGAAAGTCTGGCTAGCAACTGGGGCATCTCCTTAGAGGTTCCAACATGAAAAAAATCTCAGTTTGTTCCTATTGTTTAACTGGAACTGTATATTTATATTTTCACAGGAGCAATGACTATGGCTTTGCTGGAAAATCTTGTAGCAGGAAATGTCTACTTGGTCAAAATAGCAGCCTCCAATGAAGTGGGAGAAGGACCCTTTTCAAATGTAGTGGAACTTGCTGTCCTGCCAAAGGAGACATCAGAGTCTAATCAGAGACCTAAACGCTTGGATTCGGGAGATTCCACAGGTCAGCAGCAATGTTCTCATTAATTCCATCACAAGTACTGGGAAAAAAGATCCCTGTTCATTTTCACTTGCAACTACTTTCTGGATAAACCATTCTGTTTTTTGTGAGGTGGTCCTAACAGTGTAGCATTTTCTTTCTAAATGAAACTTTTGGAATTTCTGTCTCAGTGCAACTCAGAACTGGTTTAATTGCATAGAAGTTGGACGTTTGCTTATCAAGTGGGCATATCTAGCTATTTTGGATTTTACTAACTTTGCTGAGGCATTTCCTCTAAGTCCTTTGTTTGGCTTGGGATGCCAATAGCACTGAGTCAGTTAGAACCAGACAACCCAGCAGAGATTAGATCGCATCTCAAATAAATCTGTTGAAATTTGCTGGCTCCTAGAATTCCAGCAACCTAAATCAACCAGTCAGTCAGTGGTATACTAGCATATGGTTTCACTGAAGAATTCAGCCCCACCTGCAGCTCTTTAAGGAGCAATATGTGCTACCTTGAGGAAATCATGGCAAGTTCTGTGGTTTCTCTATATAACAATAGAAGAATGATTGGCCTTGTCTGTCACAGAATGGGATTTGTCACAGTGACTTCTCCGAGACTTTCAATATGTTTGTGAGACCAAAGCTAGTAATTATTCAGTTATATGAAACTTCTAAACTTTCCTCGCTGTTACACACTGAATTGTGATTCACACAGGGATTTTTCTTGCTCAGGTTTTCTGCCTTTCTGAAATTCAAGTATATTTCAGGCCTGAATAACTACAATCATGCACTCAGGTTTAGGGTAATAGTCAAAGTGTAAGACCTTTTTAGGTGACAGTGGCTGGAATTCTCCAAGCCTTTTCTGTTTGTGATCCAGTAGGAAGGGGTTGGAGCCAGGCTTCTTTGCTTTGTGCTGTAGATCACTGCAGAGTAGTGTGGGGCTGTCTGTTCTTCCCCCACCCACCCCATCATTGCTGCATACACTGCTTTATTTGGTTTATAAGCTTTTTCTTCAGAAGTGTGAAAATGTATGACAGAGAATGTCTGGAAATCTCATTTTTCTATGTGATTGTGAATGTAATTCTGTTCATTCGTTTCTTGACAGGGAGCAGGAGGTAACTCTTCCTACTTTCTGAGCCTTTTTATGTTCTTTTTTACTATAGCTTATTCTGACTATTACCATCTGGACCAAAAATCAATGACTGGCATTGTTGTTGGGGTTTGCATAGCCTTGACCTGCATCCTTATCTGCATCTTGATCTTGATTTATCGCAGTAAAGCCAGGTACGTTTTTGTTCTTGAAGTGTGAGCTCTTTTTCAACACCCTGTTTGTATATGAGCACAAGTCACTTAAGACATGCATTCTTCTCTAACAGTGCTAAGTTCTTTGAAAAGCTTTGTCTTTTCACATCTTCCCAGCAAAAGTGGAAGCAAAGCCTCACCTTATGTTGGCTCTTCCTACTCTGCTTGAGGGCCTTCTACAATGAAACGATAGAAGAACCCACAGAGGGAGTCAGTAATGCTTTGAGAACTAAATACAAGGCATCTTTCCAAATAAAAGAGCCTTTTGAGTCAGATAAACATGCTGCTTTACATCATCTCTTCCTCATACTTAACGCTGCAGTCTGTTTAGATCTGGTTTGCAAGGCTTTAACCTGTTAGTGCTGCTGAATGAGAAGAATTTTGCCATGAAGCAGATTTGTAAGGCAGTTTCACCACACTGGTGCAAGCCACCATCTGTTTTCCTTGTCATTAGCTGCTGTGAGGCCTAACCTGGCCCTAGTGACTTTTCGTAAATGTAGGATCAGAACAAATATAAATTACTAAAAATATGTATTTTAAAAACTGTTTGAAAGTAACAGGTTTTTTGCACGCACTCAGAAGAAAATATGGTTTGAGAGACAGTCTCTGGGTAGCATGGTAGAAAGGTCTTACTATCAATAGTGGTTACTTCACCTAAATAATGTTAGTAATCATGAGAATTCCTTTCTGCTTGTAGGCTGTGCATGATTAACTGGAAGCAGATGTTATTTTTGTCACAAGCAATAACATTTAAATTTCATGAGAATTGGGTGTATCGCATAACAAAATGTAGATGCTAAGAATATACCAATGTTGCTTGATTTATAATAGCCTTGAGTTTTATCGTTGATTCTCTGTATTTTCTTCCTATGGGTCAACTTTATTCCTACTTAACATTATGTAGGAAAACATCTGCTCCTAAACCTGTGCAGCAAAGCACTGACCGGCTGTCACATACCAACATCTCATTAGCCAGTGCTAATGAGGTGGAGAAGAACATTGAAGGAATCGCAGAGAATGCAGAATCCTTATTGCCAATGATAGTGGGAAACAGCTTCATTGATGCTAAGGTACTTGAGCTTTATTTTCTACCAAAACAGAAATCTTTCCTTGTAATTTATTGTTACAACATTTAAGTCTCTGTCAAAATTAAAATATATACACTACAAATCCACAGCAGATTTTTTCTAATAGGACAGGCACAGGTGTGGCTGGCAATCCAGGATCAAATTTTCAAGACTCATTTTAAACTTCTAAAGAGATTATCTAGCTAGAGATTTAAAACATTTGTCTTAAACTGTACTCTGCAGTTTGCCAATTTTGGCTCTGGCACACCGTCGGAGGATAAAAGGTCCATCAGCTTAGGGGTAGCTGGTGGGTTGTCTTTGCTAGTCTGGAGCTTCTATTCTAAGAGCAGGAGATAGGTGAGTGTCCTTTTTGCCTTCTAGTTAAAGTCAGTGCCGATGTACAGTGCAGTCAAGTGAGACACGAAGGAGGTATTAAATATCTTTCTGTATTTTTACTGGTAGGGCAGTTACATTTGCCAAATTACAGATTAATCTAGATGGCAGGAAGTGTCAGTGGATGTGTAGAATCTCTTAGATTACTTTCACATACAGATGTACTGATTTAAGGCATATCCCATAATACTGCAAACTTGATTTGAGCTGTTTGAAGAATTAGGCAAGAGCTGGAAAACAGTGGAAGCTGAGCTCCTTGCAGACACAGACACTCTGAAGTCTAGAACAGAAGCAGACTGGAATTGTTTGCTCTATATTTGTGGTATCATACCTGTGAGTTCAGGCTGTAAGTCTGCCAGATTCAGTGGAACTGGTCTTCACTCGTCTCAGGCAGCAAATGAATACTAGACCACAGAAAACTGAGCACTAAGGAAGACTTTGTTTGCCTTTGTTTTCAATATGGAGCCAATAGGTAGGAATAGAGACATATGTTCAAATATCTTAGAAATTAATTTTGTTAAAGTAAACGTCTGTCTCTCTTCCTCTCTCTTTTCTTGGTAGGGGGGATCCGATCTTATTATTAACAGCTATGGGCCTGTCACAAAGGCCAACTGCAAGAAGAGGTGGCTGTTCTTCCAGGATACTAAGAAGATGAAGACTGACGAGGTAATTGGTCTACTGTGCAGAGATACACAGTCTTCACTACCCTCTCTTTGCAAAGGAATTTAGGGAGTTTTCTGTGTGTTGAAAAGCATTACTGGTCTAATTTTTGATACAATAGTTCTACTTCTGTTAAGGTTGATTGTGTTCTACCTTGTAGCAAAGCCATGTGGACTTTTCATTTTCTGTCCCAGGTTGTCAAATATTTTAACTCTTTACAGTCAACTGATGACTTTCTTGCCTCTTCTCTTTTGTGAGCAAACAGATTTCTGTTGCTGTCTGTGCAGAGCATTTACAGTACACCTGCAGAGACTTTGAATAAATGCAAATTAAGTATAAACTTCTAAAAATCCCCTGCTATCCTGACAGCTAAAACCTTATGTTTGCTGAATGAATGAGAAACCAGTGATTTATTCAAAATACTGAAGAAATGTAGAATCTGAGCTATAACTGCCTTGATTCTAAAATTGTTGCCCTGGATGGATGTGCTAATTGAATTAGAAAAATGTCACTTCAAAACTGAAACGTTAAACCAAATTCTGAACATGATACTGCAAATTCGTATCTATGGAACATCTATCTTATTTCTATAGAATACTAAATTGTATTGTGTTTTTGTATGTTTAAGGAATAATAAAGCTAGAGCAACTGTACATTTCTGATGTTCCTGTGAGCAAAATACTTGCTGTGACCCAAGAATTAATGCTTAAGTAATATGCATGAAGGGATGGGAAACAGCTTTACCAAGTATATTTTAAAATAAAACTATTGAGATCTTTCCAGTGAAACCATCCTTGATAAGCCATGCTTAGCAAGAGGAGATTGTATCATTTAGTATGGAAGAGAAAAGAGTGAGCAAGGTTTGAAACTGATTCTTAATCTCCTGTAGCAAAGTCTGGATTGTTGTTCCATTCAAGTGCTGTTGGAAGCACTCTGGTTGAATTGGAGCTAGAAATTGCAGTAAAAATTGAAATTATTTTGTAGCTTTTCAGAGGCTGAATAACCTTTTCCTCTCTGCTTTTTGTACAGCCTCAGAGAAGATTTGTCCAGGCAGTGTGTCTTTATCAGCCAGGTACTACTGTGCTGATCAGTGAGGATGACTCCCCCAGCTCTCCTGGCCAGCAGTCTAACTTCCAGGTGCCGTTCAGTATTGCTGCTGATACAGAGCATTCAGCCAACAGCGAGGGAAGTCATGAGACTGGTGACTCTGGAAGATTTTCACATGAATCCAATGATGAGATTCACCTCTCCTCTGTGACAAGTGCCACTCCTTGTGCTACCAGTCCTTTTGTAAGCAGTGACTTGGGTAAGAAAGTGATGAATTCTACTGTAAGTAACAGCAAAGAGTCTCGCCTGCTGTTTGCTGCTGACCAGCCTGCTACCTCACCTCTTCAGATACACTCTGCAGTGCAAAACTGACACCCTTAGGACCACATCAGACATTCTTGCAGTGTATGTCTGTTCGAAGGACAATGAACAGGGAGCCAAAGTTATATTGTGGAAAGCCTGACTAACTCAACAGGCGATCCCATATTTCTGTTGAATGGGTTTTTTTGTTTGTTTGTTTGTTTGTTTAACTCATTCATTTTGAATGTTCGATGGTCAACAAATGTGAAAGGACAGAGAAGATTTCTGACTAGAGTTGAAATTATGTCACTGGAGCAAAGGGAAGTCTTTTGGCTCTTTTGCTGACTATCTACCTCAGTTTGCCGAGAGGTGAACTCTGAAAGACAACTGCTTTACCTCGTTTGTGTTCTATTTGGTCTCAGCTATGGAACTGATGATACTTCCTAGTAGTGTTTTATTTTAGGTTTCTTTTTTTTTATTTTTCCTGTTGAGTATAGAATGCGTGTGTGTGTGTGCGTGTGTGCTCAGTAACCAGGGAGTTGTATAGGTAGATGAACAAGATTGTTTAGCTGAAGCTCTGCCTTTAAAAAGAAGGATATCTCAGAATAGAAAATGTAATGTTTTAATGTGGCTGATCTAAACAATGTTCAAAACTGCAGAAACTGGAGTTGGTGCTTCTGTTTGAACAGCCACGTGAAATCTTTTGTACTTCTTGATTTCTCATAGCTCCAGGAAGCCTAGGACAGTGCCTTTCCCCAGAAACTTGTGCCAATGACTGCTGGCAGGATGTACCCTTAGGGCTCTAGGGCACATTGAGTTCCCACGGTGACAAATACTATCAATTTATTGACAATTAATGCTAAAAAGCATGGCAAAATGAAGAAGTATTTAGTATTTCCAAGCAGTTTGACTCTGCCTAAGAGATATGGAATAGATGATAATGCTGAGTACTCTGGTATTGCAGTACTTCTTAGCAATGGTGCCTTGCATTATATATAATGAAATTACTGATTTGCCTTATGCCTTTTTAGTATTTATAAAGTTGCTTTGGATTTTGGAAAGATGCCTTAAATGCTTCTTAGATGTTATAAGTAAACTGCATCATGAGCTCGTAGTTCATTTTTCACTCAGCTTTGAATGCTGATAAGCACTGCTAGCATCATGGCATGTCTCAGAGCTGTTTTTGGGATACAACCCTGATCCTTGCCTTTGCCTAGTATGCTGTTAGCCAGGAATTTTAGCTCAGGGAGTGACATAAGCCTATCTAAAACTCTACCATGAGAAATAAAAAGCCAGAGCTTTAGTTGAAGAGTCTGTTGAAGGACACAAGTAGTGCTACTGCCTTGAACCCATACAATTCCTGTTTGATACTACCTCTTTTAAAAGTTATTCTAGTGTGTTGTGGTGTTTGGTTTTTTGTTTGTTTGTTTTTCCTGTACTCAGGGAACAGTTTGTTACTTTGAGCTGCCTCATGAAAATGTGGAGCAAACTGACAGGGTATTGTGTTTTATTTCTTAATGGGGGTGGGAGGAGGAGAGAGAAGAGAGAGAGAGGAGGTTGGACTCATCCAATGTTATAAACTTGCCTATATAACTATCCAGTCCTCTTCTCTGCTTTCCTCATTTTACTTTAAAAAAAAAAAAAAAAAAAAAGAGTTTAAAATGTAATATTGTGAGAAAGCAACCATGGGAGCTCCTGGCTCTATTTAAGACTGGTGGAACTCCTCTGACTTCTAAGGTAGGCTGGGCTGACTTTGGTATTGCTCTGTATGTATCAAAAGGTGGTCAGAAAGTCAGCAGTAAGCCCTGCTGTTTTGTACTTTTTATTTTCACAAATCATCCTGTAGTTACTGTAGTTCTTAAGCTTGTAACTGTTTGCTAGTTCAGAATCAGAAAGTACCTGTTCACCTTTTCATAACCGTGATGACTTAAAGGCTTTTAAAATAATTTTGTACCAAAGAATTTTCCATAGAAGAAAAGGAAGCTGCATATTTTCCTATAATAATTGAACTAGTTAAAAGCTATAGGTTTGAAGAGCTGAATGCATTTTGTTGTGTAAGTAGTTACTAACAAGAAAAAACCCAACAGTAGGGCTTCCACTAATTGTAACAGTTGATTGCATAGACGAGTTGTATGTTTCTACAGTTTTAACTACCTTGTTGTTACAAGAGCCTTTAAAGAAAATTATAATAATACCAGCAGATACTTCCAAAGACTTCCAAGTGTAATTTTTTTCTTCAGCATGTAGTTGATCAACAGTACAGTATTAAAAATATATATATTTTCGAACAGATTTTTTCTACTTGCTGAAGAAAAAGAAAACCTTTTCACCAAAGATTTATTTTTTATCTCATCAGGCAGAATGTTTAGTGTAGAGCAGAGTACTGTTTCTAGTTAGGTAAAGTGTGAATTAACTGAAACTAGATTAAGAATGTGTAATTGTAGCATGAAGTTTCACACTTCATCTTTCAGAGTAGCCTCTTTTGTTAGTTTCATTCAGGAAGAGCTGATATGCAGATGGTAACTATTTGCTTCTCCAAAGACTTGTTTGCTGTAAGTACTGATAATTTGTTGTAATTTTATGACCTTCATTACAGGCAGATACTTTAACGTCTAAACTTTTTCGACCAAAACCTTGTTCTCTAGTTTAATCCATGGAGAATTGAGAGAAATAGACTTCATATAAAATTTGCCAGTCTAATATAAAAGTCAGTAGCCAAAGAGATTAAAATATCTGATTTCCTGAATACAAAGCATCCAGAATTCTAATAAACGTTTATTGTTGTTGTTTGTTTTTTTTTTTAATTAAGGTACTTTTTACCAGCAAATAAAGAAAACCAAAGATATTTAAGGTTACCTCAGCATATAGGCAAAGCTTAGTTAGACATTAATTATTCTTTTACTTTATTTTTATGTTAACCAAATATAATAAATTTCTCCAGAACTCAGTCTGCGCTCACATACTTCCCTTCACTGTGTCAGATTTACTTAGAATTTGCAAATTTACTACAGAACAAAAAAATAGTCTTCTCAAAATTCACGTTCTATCATTAATTACTGCAGTTTGCAAGAGAATAGTTGTCTCAGTCTGAAGCAGAGAGATCTCTAGAACAACTGCATAGAAATTTATACTTCCTCTACTGAACTGAGTAGCGGAATTCTTTGTGGTTGTAACAGTGCAAAATCAGCCTCAGCATTTAAATGCTCTGTATCCTTGAAGCCAAAGTATGCGATTTTAGACATCAGCTTGCTTAAAAGTTTATACTTGTTACAGTCTAAGGAAATCAGTTTTTCATAGATTTATTAATTCCATTTACCTACAAAGAGCTGGCAAAACAAAGCAGACAAAACAAGTTACAGATTTTCCAGTAATTTTTCTTGCTTATGTCTGTAGAAACTGAGTTCTGGAGAAAATGCTATCATTTTTTAATTATGAATTAAGTATGTTCTGGAAGATGAACATAAATGTGGAATTTAGTGTTACACTGTGTGAATTGATTTTGTTGAAGTGTATTAAGAAGTAAAGAGCCATGGCTGGTGTAATGAGTGTATATGCAACCTTTGTACTTCACAAACAAATGAAAAATGTTACGGTTGATGTGGCTTGAAAAGTGTCAAAAACATGCAGAGAAAATCTTGAGAGTGGTTTACCATGCTGTGTTTTCAAGTGAGGACAGTGATTGCCCTTCTATTGTTACAGCAGTGCCTGCTCTGCAGGACCCAAATTCAAACCTAAATGCTCCAGCTGCCCACAGTCACACTTGTGTACTTTCTTCATGCTATACAAAGAACTTTCTATCTAGGAAAACTGGGAATGTGGATGTTGTGCAGATTTTGGCCTGTAAGTAGGATTTTTTCTTAAAGCTCTGCTTTTGTAAGAGAAACTTGAAAAATCTCTGCATCATTTTAATAATTTCTTATATTGGCTGTGCATTTTCAGTGTAATTGGCTTTTAACAGAAAGGAGATGTGAGAAATTTCTGTAATTTTCATTATATTTAATGCTTCCTTCCCTCTTTAGTTTTATTCCCTTGCTGTAGAGTATGAGCTTATCCACATGAGTCCTCACCCTCTGTCTTTTTAAGTCAGTGGGAGAATTTAAATTTGATTTCAGTTTGTATGACAAACAAAAACAGCTGCTTTTTTTTTTTTTTTTTTTTTTTAAGATCTTCACAGTACTATTATTAATATTTTTTAAAGGAAGGAATTCTTACCAAAAATTGGCTTTTTTTTTTTTTTTTATGGGACAGTCAGTTACCGTGTACCAGTGGCTCACTGTAGCTGCAGTGTGAGCCTTTAGTGAAGAGTGAGTACTTTGAGTCAATTTAACTCTTACATTGTAAGCTAGGCAACTTGAAAGACTTTGCATTTGCTGCAACCTGAGCGTACACAACAATAGTTACCATGGATCACTGAGTCTTAGTAACATGTTGCTCTGAGCAAAAATCAAAGCTGTGAGACCAGAGCTCTCACTCATTTTGATAATGAATGAAGTTCAGGAAGGGAAAAGTCCATCTCCTAACGTGGGGAACATTGTTTGATTCTGTAGGGTACTCCATGTTTAGCACCAAATGAAAAGAGAGCTGTACAAGTGTAACTTTGGCTGTATTCCAGACAAACCAATTTACTGAGTGTTAAAACTGAAAGCTGAACTGCACCTAATAATTGCTAAAAGAATAGTTCTTAGCTTGAACAATTGCTACACACTTCTTAGTTGCAGAAAATGCAGCCTTGCTAATATCAGATAATTTTTAGGGCAGAGGAATTTGTCTGCAGGAAACATTGATCACCTTTCTCTAAAAACAAATTAAAACTATTCTATTTTTGTAACTGTATCTTTTGGAACCTGTGTTTACAAAAAAATATTTTCCTCCAAAGATGGAGTCCAAAATGAAGTTGCTTGCTGTTAGTAGAAGCCCATCTGAAAGATACACAAATCCAATTTGGCTCCAATTCTGCTCAGATCTCCATAATGCAGAGTAGGGTTATTTCTTTGGGATTTCTCTAGTTTTACACCAAGGCTGGTCCTGAATTGTTCAAAAGGCTAAAATTCTGCTGTGTTGGAACACTCCAAGCTGAGTTCCTGGAGATTTTTAGCTTTCCATGGTTACATATACCTACATTGCATCTGTCTGGTTTGTTTTCAGTAAAGACTGACTGTATGTGAAAAACGTATACAAAATATTGCTTTTTGGTTGTTTGGCTTCTTTGTTGTTGTTGTGTTTTTGTGTTTGGTTTTGTTGGTTTTTGTTGTTTTTTTTTTTTCTTTTTTTTTTTCATCCAAGTTGTAATGAATTGCCAGTGTAGGAGCCAGGTATGTATTTTATATTGTGGTGTTCTGGATCCTTTCACTCCATGTGCCATTTTCTTCTAAGGGCAGCAATAGCTAACTGGCTAATGGAGGATGGAGCTGAATTGTATTAATTTTATATTTGTCTCAGGGGATCAGCTCCATGAATTCCATTGCATGAGGGAAGCTAATGTTTGCCCTGATTTGAATGTAACTTTTTAATGTCTTTAAAAAATATATTTTGTTTAATAATGTGGATTTTTCTTTTTCTAGCATTCTAGTAAATGTTACCTAGTGTGTTGTTTCTTTTTTCTTCTTCAGGGTTGTTTATATATTACCCCAAGGTCATGCCAAAAATTAATAGAAGTTTAAATGCCAAATGTTTATGAAACTGCTGTCTAAATACTGATTGATTGCACAGTTGAAATAAAAGTTTTCCTTAGTAAAATGGTACTTGAAAAATATTTTATTTTCGTCATCTTTGACTAGTGGCTGAAACCAGGAAAATATAATACAGTTCCTCATTTTAGGCTGAGGAGCTGCAGGGATTTAACAGTCGAAAAATGAGGTGGAAAGTAAACCAGACATTGCTTATCACCAAAATATATAGAAATTTCCCAAGTGTGCAGTTGTATCCCATTTATGTATCCGGAATCATTTCCTACCTAAAACCTCAGTCTTGACTCCACTACTGTCAAACAGCCATGCATGCTCTTTGTGGTACTTTACTTGCAGTGGAGGTGGAAGTTGTAGTTCTAAGCACAGTTGTTCTCATAAAAGCTTGGAAAGCTGCTGACAAAGCCACACCACTAAGTTTTTCCTGCCATTTCTGCACCTGTTGACTGATGAACCTGGGATTTCAACACATAACAAGACCATGAAAATGCAGTTGTGGTTGGTCGAAAGCCAAATTACTATTTTTACAAATGGCAATTCACTAGACAAAAGTAAATCGAGTTAAATAAGCAGGGAAATTAAGATCAAACGAGACTAAAAGGTTTCTGTTGCTAGCTGGTTGACTATTGTCACTTCAAAGCAACTTGTCCAGGTGGTTCAGTGAATTAGGTACAGAGTTGTAATTAGAGCAGTGGTACCCATGCAGATCAGCTACGGAGAATGAAACCACAGTAATTACTATGTTATGCATGCATCTTGTAGACAGAAGGCATGCTGTGTGTGCTCCATAGACACAAGACATATGCAGCCCTAAGACTGAAGGCAAGGCATGCTGTGTGCATTCCTAAGAGATGGCAGCTACAGAATTGAGGGCCTCAAAATTCTGTTCTTTTTAATGCGGTAGCTTTTCCT